AGAGAGACTAGAGTGAGACTAGAGGAGACTAAGGGACTAGAGGAGACTAGAGTGAGACTAGAGAGAGACTAGAGTGAGACTAGAGAGAGACTAGAGTGAGACTAGAGAGAGACTAGAGTGAGACTAGAGAGAGACTAGAGTGAGACTAGAGAGAGACTAGAGTGAGACTAGAGAGAGACTAGAGAGAGACTAGAGTGAGACTAGAGAGAGACTAGAGTGAGACTAGAGAGAGACTAGAGTGAGACTAGAGAGAGACTAGAGTGAGACTAGAGAGAGACTAGAGTGAGACTAGAGAGAGACTAGAGTGAGACTAGAGAGAGACTAGAGAGAGACTAGAGTGAGACTAGAGAGAGACTAGAGTGAGACTAGAGAGAGACTAGAGAGACTAGAGAGAGACTAGAGTGAGACTAGAGAGAGACTAGAGTGAGACTAGAGAGAGACTAGAGTGAGACTAGAGAGAGACTAGAGTGAGACTAGAGAGAGACTAGAGAGAGACTAGAGTGAGACTAGAGAGAGACTAGAGTGAGACTAGAGAGAGACTAGAGTGAGACTAGAGAGAGACTAGAGTGAGACTAGAGAGAGACTAGAGTGAGACTAGAGTGAGACTAGAGTGAGACTAGAGTGAGACTAGAGTGAGACTAGAGAGAGACTAGAGTGAGACTAGAGAGAGACTAGAGTGAGACTAGAGTGAGACTAGAGTGAGACTAGAGAGAGACTAGAGTGAGACTAGAGAGAGACTAGAGTGAGACTAGAGAGAGACTAGAGTGAGACTAGAGAGAGACTAGAGTGAGACTAGAGAGAGACTAGAGTGAGACTAGAGTGAGACTAGAGTGAGACTAGAGAGAGACTAGAGTGAGACTAGAGAGAGACTAGAGTGAGACTAGAGAGAGACTAGAGAGAGACTAGAGTGAGACTAGAGAGAGACTAGAGTGAGACTAGAGAGAGACTAGAGTGAGACTAGAGTGAGACTAGAGAGAGACTAGAGTGAGACTAGAGAGAGACTAGAGTGAGACTAGAGAGAGACTAGAGTGAGACTAGAGTGAGACTAGAGAGAGACTAGAGTGAGAATAGAGAGAGACTAGAGAGAGACTAGAGTGAGACTAGAGAGAGACTAGAGTGAGACTAGAGAGAGACTAGAGTGAGACTAGAGAGAGACTAGAGTGAGACTAGAGAGAGACTAGAGTGAGACTAGAGAGAGACTAGAGTGAGACTAGAGTGAGACTAGAGAGAGACTAGAGTGAGACTAGAGAGAGACTAGAGTGAGACTAGAGAGAGACTAGAGTGAGACTAGAGAGAGACTAGAGAGAGACTAGAGTGAGACTAGAGAGAGACTAGAGTGAGACTAGAGAGAGACTAGAGTGAGACTAGAGAGAGACTAGAGAGAGACTAGAGTGAGACTAGAGAGAGACTAGAGTGAGACTAGAGAGAGACTAGAGTGAGACTAGAGTGAGACTAGAGTGAGACTAGAGAGAGACTAGAGTGAGACTAGAGAGAGACTAGAGTGAGACTAGAGAGAGACTAGAGTGAGACTAGAGTGAGACTAGAGAGAGACTAGAGTGAGACTAGAGAGAGACTAGAGTGAGACTAGAGAGAGACTAGAGAGAGACTAGAAGTGAGACTAGAGAGAGACTAGAGTGAGACTAGAGAGAGACTAGAGTGAGACTAGAGTGAGACTAGAGTGAGACTAGAGAGAGACTAGAGTGAGACTAGAGAGAGACTAGAGTGAGACTAGAGTGAGACTAGAGTGAGACTAGAGAGAGACTAGAGTGAGACTAGAGAGAGACTAGAGTGAGACTAGAGTGAGACTAGAGTGAGACTAGAGCTGTAGTGAAGCTTCTGGACACATCTCCAGTTGTTGCTCGGGTCAGAACCACATCTGGAGGATTTGACCTTCTGTATGTTTTGGCGCCGGAGACTAGCACCCAGAAGCCAGGGCTAACCACTCAGCCACTCGCACACATTAAAGTGATAGTCTGTAACTCTAAATGAATTACACATTTTAGGAATTGTGTTAAATTGACCTCCTGGCCTTAAATATTGATATAAAATAAGTCATTTTATTAATTCTAATATTACAGGTAAGTCCCGCCTTCCCTTCTCTTAGCTATAGTTCAGAATCCACGGTGCCGTCGAGGTTAACCAATCAAGTCATGCCAAGGGCTGTCAATCACAGCACTGATGCTGAACCATCCATCCATTTTCTTCCCCTTAATCCATTTCTGGGTAGGGGGGGGGGGGGGGTGGCAGTCAGAGCTGCACCCAGTACACTCAGCCCCTCACTGATCCTCCTGCAGGAGCTGAGATCTTTCAGTGGGGACTAAAGTAAAGCCAAGTGGGGTTAAGTGTCTTGCCCAAGGACACAACGACAGCAGTCATCAGTGGGCTCGAACCCACGACCTTCAGGCCCAAAGGCCAATGCTCTACCAACTGAGCTACTGTCGCCCCAATATGAACCTATGTCCATAATCATTTATATATGAACCATAGTCAGATCCACTGCAGATGTTTCTATAATGTGATAATAGCACTTCCTGGTTTGCTGCGATCGCTTTTTTTGTGCCTTAAAACATTATTTTATTCATTAAAACATTAACAAATAATCCTGAAAACCTCCGTGCATTTTTATTAATAATGTTTATGTATAATGTGTTCTCTGATAAATATTTAAAAGTGTTACGGAAACGTAGGTGTAGACCAATCAGAAAGGAAGGGGGAGGAGCTTGGGTCATTTTTTTCAAATCAAGTACCTCTCTCTGTTTCTGACAAACTCCAGACAATCACATTAAGCCAGAGCCCAGGATCCAGGGCTAACCACTCAGCCACTCGCACACATTAAGCCAGAGCCCAGGATCCAGGGCTAACCACTCAGCCACTCGCACACATTAAGCCAGAGCCCAGGATCCAGGGCTAACCACTCAGCCACTCGCACACATTAAGCCAGAGCCCAGGATCCAGGGCTAACCACTCAGCCACTCGCACACATTAAGCCAGAGCCCAGGATCCAGGGCTAACCACTCAGCCACTCGCACACATTAAGCCAGAGCCCAGGATCCAGGGCTAACCACTCAGCCACTCGCACACATTAAGTCAGAGCCCAGGATCCAGGGCTAACCACTCAGCCACTCGCACACATTAAGCCAGAGCCCAGGATCCAGGGCTAACCACTCAGCACACTCGCACACACATTAAGCAGAGCCCAGGATCCAGGGCTAACCACTCAGCCACTCGCACACATTAAGCCAGAGCCCAGGATCCAGGGCTAACCACTCAGCCACTCGCACACATTAAGCCAGAGCCCAGGATCCAGGGCTAACCACTCAGCCACTCGCACACATTAAGCCAGAGCCCAGGATCCAGGGCTAACCACTCAGCCACTCGCACACATTAAGCCAGAGCCCAGGATCCAGGGCTAACCACTCAGCCACTCGCACACATTAAGCCAGAGCCCAGGATCCAGGGCTAACCACTCAGCCACTCGCACACATTAAGCCAGAGCCCGTGGAACACCGCGGTGATAAAAGGTGCCATTGTCCTCTGAGCAGCTAACCGCGGCTAATGGCTAACACCTGTTAGCATCAGTCATGACACGGATCGCACTAAGTAATCCACTTTAATCCACTTTACATGTTCGTCTGGAATCATCAGTTTACCCTGGATTATCTTTAGACCCCTCGACCTCGTTAATCTGTCCTCATCCACCTGCGGAATCTCAGATTAAACCATCAGACATTAGTGAGGCCCGCTGTACATGCTCCTCACAACTATAGACCAGAGAGAGGCCAAAGAGAGGCCCTGACCTCCAGAGAGAGGCCCCTAACCTCCAGAGAGAGGCCCCTAACCTCCAGAGAGAGGCCCCTGACCTCCAGAGAGAGGCCCTGTCCTCCAGAGAGAGACCCCTAACCTCCAGAGAGAGGCCCCTAACCTCCAGAGAGAGGCCCCTAACTTCCAGAGAGAGGCCCCTAACCTCCAGAGAGAGGCCCCTAACCTCCAGAGAGAGGCCCCTGACCTCCAGAGAGAGACCCCTAACCTCCAGAGAGAGGCCCCTAACCTCCAGAGAGAGGCCCCTAACCTCCAGAGAGAGGCCCTGTCCTCCAGAGAGAGGCCCCTGACCTCCAGAGAGAGGCCCCTAACCTCCAGAGAGAGGCCCTGACCTCCAGAGAGAGGCCCCTAACCTCCAGAGAGGCCCTGACCTCCAGAGAGAGGCCCCTATCCTCCAGAAAGAGGCCCCTGACCTCCAGAGAGAGGCCCCTATCCTCCAGAAAGAGGCCCCTGACCTCCAGAGAGAGACCAAAGAGAGCCCCTGTCCCCAGTTTGGCTGCCTCCAGGGAATAGTGTGGATCAGCCATCATGGCCCGTTACAGGGTCTCACAGTGGGGGAGGGTCTCACAGTGGGGGAGGGTCTCACAGTGGGGGAGGGTCTCACAGTGGGGAAGGGTCTCACAGTGGGGGAGGGTCTCACAGTGGGGGAGGGTCTCACAGTGGGGAAGGGTCTCACAGTGGGGGAGGGTCTCACAGTGGGGGAGGGTCTCACAGTGGGGGGGAGGAGGGTCTCACAGTGGGGGAGGGTCTCACAGTGGGGGAGGGTCTCACAGTGGGGGAGGGTCTCACAGTGGGGGAGGGTCTCACAGTGGGGGAGGGTCTCACAGTGGGGGAGGGTCTCACAGTGGGGGAGGGTCTCACAGTGGGGGAGGGTCTCACAGTGGGGGGTCTCACAGTGGGAAGGGTCTCACAGTGGGGGAGGGTCTCACAGTGGGGGAGGGTCTCACAGTGGGGGAGGGTCCCACAGTGGGGGAGGGTCTCACAGTGGGGGAGGGTCTCACAGTGGGGGAGGGTCTCACAGTGGGGGCAGGTCCCGGCCAATATCTCCGCCGTTCTAACTAATGGGCCAAAAATTGTGCTCTACTGGAGCTATCCAAAATGGCCGCGAGTGGCATCTGTGCAGCGTCAGCGAGAGTCCCACTGGTCCCAGCTCAAAAGTGGCCAAAATGACGTGCGCTGACATGCTGCAGTACCACCCCGGGCCTGTGGGGGTGGACCCTGACATGCTGCAGTACCACCCCGGGCCTGTGGGGGTGGACCCTGACCTGCTGCAGTACCACCCCGGGCCTGTGGGGGTGGACCCTGACATGCTGCAGTACCACCCCGGGCCTGTGGGGGTGGACCCTGACATGCTGCAGTACCACCCCGGGCCTGTGGGGGTGGACCCTGACATGCTGCAGTACCACCCCAGGCCTGTGGGGGTGGACCCTGACATGCTGCAGTACCACCCCGGGCCTGTGGGGGTGGACCCTGACATGCTGCAGTACCACCCCGGGCCTGTGGGGGTGGACCCTGACATGCTGCAGTACCACCCCAGGCCTGTGGGGGTGGACCCTGACATGCTGCAGTACCACCCCGGGCCTGTGGGGGTGGACCCTGACATGCTGCAGTACCACCCCGGGCCTGTGGGGGTGGACCCTGACATGCTGCAGTACCACCCCGGGCCTGTGGGGGTGGACCCAGAAGAAGAATAAGCCAATGCTAACATATAGCATCTTCTTACTCCAGAGGTAAGTAAGTAAGTAATGTTTATTTATATACCGCCTTTCACAGACCTGAGTCTCAAAGCGGTTTACAATTGTTGTTTTTGGGACACTCTCTCACTCCACAGAGATGGGAGCGGGGCCAGTGCAGGAGGCACAGACCTATTGTGCATATTTTTAGTGGTAGGGGAAACCGGAGCACCCGGAGGAAACCTACGCAGACACGGGGAGAACATGCAAACTCCACTCAGAAAGGCCCTGGTCCGGCCGGGATTCGAACCCAGGACCTTCTTGCTGAGAGGCAAGAGTGCTAACCACTCAGCCACTGTGCCGCGTGAGCAGTGACACATGTGTGTCAATGCTGAGTGTTCTGGACCAGTCTAGTTTAGTCGCTGTGGACTTTAGAAGTCTCTGTTTAAATGAATGGAGCTCTCTCCGGCTGACGCTGCACAGATGTGTTTTTTCACAATTTTCTTGTGGGCGGGACCACTCGCGGCCATCTTGATAGCTCCAGTAGAGCACATTTGTGGCCCATTAGTTTAAACAGCGGAGATACTGACTCTGTCCCAGTCTAAGGTGAGTGTTGTACATTTACGATCGTGAAATGTGATCGATGTACAGTGCAGTGCAGACATGTGCAGTCTAAGCTAACATGTGCAGTCTAAGCTAACATGTGCAGTCTAAGCTAACATGTGCAGTCTAAGCTAACATGTGCAGTCTAAGCTAACATGTGCAGTCTAAGCTAACATGTGCAGTCTAAGCTAACATGTGCCGTCTAAGCTAACATGTGCAGTCTAAGCTAACATGTGCAGTCTAAGCTAACATGTGCAGTCTAAGCTAACATGTGCAGTCTAAGCTAACATGTGCAGTCTAAGCTAACATGTGCAGTCTAAGCTAACATGTGCAGTCTAAGCTAACATGTGCAGTCTAAGCTAACATGTGCAGTCTAAGCTAACATGTGCCGTCTAAGCTAACATGTGCAGTCTAAGCTAACATGTGCAGTCTAAGCTAACATGTGCAGTCTAAGCTAACATGTGCAGTCTAAGCTAACATGTGCCGTCTAAGCTAACATGTGCAGTCTAAGCTAACATGTGCAGTCTAAGCTAACATGTGCAGTCTAAGCTAACATGTGCAGTCTAAGCTAACATGTGCAGTCTAAGCTAACATGTGCAGTCTAAGCTAACATGTGCAGTCTAAGCTAACATGTGCAGTCTAAGCTAACATGTGCAGTCTAAGCTAACATGTGCAGTCTAAGCTAACATGTGCAGTCTAAGCTAACATGTGCAGTCTAAGCTAACATGTGCCGTCTAAGCTAACATGTGCAGTCTAAGCTAACATGTGCAGTCTAAGCTAACATGTGCAGTCTAAGCTAACATGTGCAGTCTAAGCTAACATGTGCCGTCTAAGCTAACATGTGCAGTCTAAGCTAACATGTGCAGTCTAAGCTAACATGTGCAGTCTAAGCTAACATGTGCAGTCTAAGCTAACATGTGCAGTCTAAGCTAACATGTGCCGTCTAAGCTAACATGTGCAGTCTAAGCTAACATGTGCAGTCTAAGCTAACATGTGCAGTCTAAGCTAACATGTGCAGTCTAAGCTAACATGTGCAGTCTAAGCTAACATGTGCAGTCTAAGCTAACATGTGCAGTCTAAGCTAACATGTGCAGTCTAAGCTAACATGTGCAGTCTAAGCTAACATGTGCAGTCTAAGCTAACATGTGCAGTCTAAGCTAACATGTGTGCAGTCTAAGCTAACATGTGCAGTCTAAGCTAACATGTGCCGTCTAAGCTAACATGTGCAGTCTAAGCTAACATGTGCAGTCTAAGCTAACATGTGCAGTCTAAGCTAACATGTGCAGTCTAAGCTAACATGTGCAGTCTAAGCTAACATGTGCCGTCTAAGCTAACATGTGCAGTCTAAGCTAACATGTGCAGTCTAAGCTAACATGTGCAGTCTAAGCTAACATGTGCAGTCTAAGCTAACATGTGCAGTCTAAGCTAACATGTGCAGTCTAAGCTAACATGTGCAGTCTAAGCTAACATGTGCAGTCTAAGCTAACATGTGCAGTCTAAGCTAACATGTGCAGTCTAAGCTAACATGTGCAGTCTAAGCTAACATGTGCAGTCTAAGCTAACATGTGCAGTCTAAGCTAACATGTGCAGTCTAAGCTAACATGTGCAGTCTAAGCTAACATGTGCCGTCTAAGCTAACATGTGCAGTCTAAGCTAACATGTGCAGTCTAAGCTAACATGTGCAGTCTAAGCTAACATGTGCAGTCTAAGCTAACATGTGCAGTCTAAGCTAACATGTGCAGTCTAAGCTAACATGTGCAGTCTAAGCTAACATGTGCAGTCTAAGCTAACATGACTAAACCAGGACTAAACCAGGACTAAACCAGGACTAAACCAGGACTAAACTAGGACCTAAACCAGGACTAAACCAGGACTAAACCAGGACCTAAACCAGGACTAAACCAGGACTAAACCAGGACCTGAACCAGGACTAAACCAGGACTAAACCAGGACTAAACTAGGACCTAAACCAGGACTAAACCAGGACTAAACCAGGACTAAACTAGGACCTAAACCAGGACTAAACCAGGACTAAACCAGGACTAAACCAGGACTAAACCAGGACTAAACCAGGACTAAACTAGGACCTAAACCAGGACTAAACCAGGACTAAACCAGGACCTGAACCAGGACTAAACCAGGACTAAACTAGGACCTGAACCAGGACTAAACCAGGATTAAATTAGAACTAAACCAGGACTAAACCAGGATTAAATTAGAACTAAACCAGGACTAAACCAGGATTGGCGATGGGGACACTGTGCTTGTGAACATATGCCTCCAGCCTGAGTTCTCCTTCTCCCGTGACTGTAAACAAGAGCTGCTAATGTGTTTTTGATGCTGGTTATTAAATACTAAATTAAAGCTGCACTAACTGACTTTGGGATTTTGAAGCCGCGGACCCGCTGGCCTCTCTCTTTCTGCTCCCCTCCCCGCACCCACGAAGCTATCGCCCCCCCACACACACCCACTGTTGGGACGGAGCTAGCGTCTTCCAATATGGATAATACATGGACATGGATTTGCACGTGGATGGCGTGACCATAGAACGATAGAACCGGGAAGTGCGGAGGAACGACACTTTCTTTTGGAGCTGTCTCGCTGTGTAAGCAGTAACCGGTGACGAAGACGAGGAAGCTTCAGGTTAGCTCCGCCACTGCATACAGCCGGAAGTCTACCTTTGGTTGAGTTTACTTATAGTGGGCCGTATGTCAATAAAGTGTTTAGGCAAGGCAAGGCAAGGCAAGCAAGGCAAGGCAAGGCAAGGCAAGGCAAGGCAAGGCAAGGCAAGTTTATTGTATAGCACAGGGGTGGCCAACCAGTCAAGACTATGAGCCAATTTTTTTACTGTGTTACAGCAAAGAGCCACATCATACAATTGTGGCACTACATAAACACACCCCAACCCTTACACACGCACGCACCACGCGCACGAACTGTACGCACACCGAGCAGACACGCCGCACACACATGCAATCTGTCGACCAAGAGACGTGTGTGCCCTGCTCGACAGATTTTATTTGTAAATGATCATCAAACAGATAATGACAAAATTGCTCGTACAGCACTAAAGGCTGGACTCGACTCTCCCCCGGTTTGCGGGCGCTTCCACCGCTCGCTTCAACCCACCCCTACTTATATTTAATGGGTTGGCCTCGCGGGTCTAACCGGCGAGTCGATAAACAAGAACAATTTCACGTCCGCGAACATCATTTATGATTCCGAAAATGAATGCTTCAATCTCTAACCAAGAAAAAAAAATTCAAGTTTCAAACCCATGGTTCAGTAGAAACACAACTGTCTTTATAAAAGATATAGGCGATCGCTTTTTATGTAAAGCAAACGGCAAATCCGCGCATGCGCGTGCACTGTGGCAAAAAGAGCGTGTAGACAACAATGGATACCTGGAGTTCAAAGTCAAAACACAGCAAGCAATAGACCCTTTATCTGACGATCTGAAAATGTCAGATTATGCTCAAAGCTACCAGTCGATGCACGAAGGCGTAATGTTTGTCAAATTGTAGTACAATTTATTTTGGTCAATGGCAGAGACAGAGACAGTAGAGACAGAGGCAGAGACAGTAGAGACAGAGACAGAGACAGTAGAGACAGAGGCAGAGACAGAGACAGTAGAGACAGAGACAGTAGAGACAGAGGCAGAGACAGTAGAGACAGAGACAGAGACAGAGACAGTAGAGACAGAGGCAGAGATAGAGACAGTAGAGACAGAGGCAGAGACAGTAGAGACTGAGACAGAGACAGTAGAGACAGAGGCAGAGACAGTAGGGACAGAGGCAGAGACAGTAGGGACAGAGGCAGAGACAGTAGAGACAGAGGCAGAGACAGTAGAGACAGAGGCAGAGACAGTAGAGACAGAGGCAGAGACAGAGACAGTAGAGACAGAGGCAGAGACAGTAGAGACAGAGGCAGAGACAGTAGAGACAGAGGCAGAGACAGTAGAGACAGTAGAGACAGAGGCAGAGACAGTAGAGACAGAGGCAGAGACAGAGACAGTAGGACAGAGGCAGAGACAGTAGAGACAGAGGCAGAGACAGAGACAGTAGGGACAGAGGCAGAGACAGTAGAGACAGAGGCAGAGACAGCAGAGACAGAGGCAGAGACAGTAGAGACAGAGCAGAGACAGTAGAGACAGAGGCAGAGACAGTAGACAGACAGAGACAGAGACAGAGGCAGTAGAGACAGAGGCAGAGACAGTAGAGACAGAGGCAGTAGAGACAGAGGCAGAGACAGAGACAGAGACAGAGACAGCAGGGACAGAGGCAGAGACAGTAGAGACAGAGGCAGAGACAGAGACAGTAGAGACAGAGACAGAGACAGAGGCAGAGACAGAGACAGTAGAGACAGTAGAGACAGAGACAGTAGAGACAGAGACAGTAGAGACAGAGACAGTAGAGACA